GGTCAAATCACCGATTCTGACGTTTTTTTTTTCGCGAAGATTCGGTCACTCGTTTTTCTCTTGCAATTTTTTTTTTTTGCCGAATCGACCCTTTCACGTGGGAACTAAGGGCTTTCTTTAAAAAAAAAACCCCCAAAAATTACCTATCCTGCATGGCTTTGTTTGACTAGAATTACCCAAATTCTCTGGGATTTGTGTAATCTGGTTTTTTTTTTGAATGATTTCAGCATTGTTGACATTTTTTTGCGATTTTCTTTACTAAAAAGAAAAAAACTTTCTGATAAGATCTATAAGAGAGATCTTATAAGAATTAGATCTTATTTCCATGTCAAATCTGCCCTATTCGTTAATCTTTTTTACCTGTGTTTCCTAACTGTAGTGTTACTGTACTATTTTTAGTTTTCTCTCTTTTTTTTTGTGAAAGTATTTTAGCAATATGTTATAGGCGGTTATGATTATCTGGTTCGCTTCTATTCGCCCATGAATAAAGCATATATATATAATATTATAATAATGGGAAAAAGAACCAATCTTTCTAGCCGCCGGGATCGAACCGTTAACCTTAACCCGACTAAGAGACAAGACTCTTGTCCGGTCGGCTACATGGCTACGGCTACAAGACTCCTATTCGGTCAGCAATATGTTATAGGCGGTTATGATTATCTGGTTCGCTTCTATTCACTTCCTGAATAAAGCATATATATGTTGTGTCCGATTTAGATTTCCGTCCGATTTAGATTCAATCTAAATCGGACGTCCGATTTAGATTGAACTTATCGCGGACGTCCGATTTAGATTACAGTCTATATCGGACGTTCGATTTAGATTCAATCTAAATCTTATATAGATTGAACAATAATATAAACATGCTTAATATATATTCTTAAGCGTTTTCTGTAGTTTTCTGCATTTTTCAAAGGTCTTTTATTGATTACAGTCTATATCGGACGTCCGATACAGATCGAACAATAATAAACGTGCTTAACATATGTTCTTTGAAAAGCGCAGAAAATTGCAAAAAAACGCTTAAGAACATATATTAAGCACGTTTATTATTGTTCGATCTGTATCGGACGTCCGATATAGACTGTAATCTAAATCGGACGTCCGATTTAGATTGAATCTAAATCGGACGGAAATCTAAATCGGACACAACATATATATATAAGAATATAAAATAGATTCACAAATGATAAAAGAAATTAAATCCAAGCATTTTTTTTTCAAATTGTTTATTGCCTTTCTTCAAATCAATGTTTTCAATTATTGTGCTTTATTTTTTTCGGATTCTGTAAAATCCAGCTTTCTAAGTAAGTTTATGCAATTTTTTTTGAGTCTTTTCAACTTGTTGCAAGTTTGTAGTGCAGCTTTTATTTGATTTTCAAGTGTACTCACTTTTGATATTATGCTGTGCGTGCAAAAAAAGTAGCAAATCATGAACTAGATTTATCAAAAACTTATTGAAACTATTGCCAATTAATTAGCTTATTTGTTTACCATAAATGAAAAGAAAATGACCAACACAACCACTTAAAGCGTTAGATTTGATTAAAGAAGTGAAGGAATTGGCAAGATAAAGTAGATTCCCGAAGATTGAGCCCTCATTGAACCCTGCTTTCCAGGCAATTGCAGCTATTGATCATCTATCATTGAGCTATTTGATACCTTAACTTGCCAAGAGAAAGAAAGAAAGACAAGAGAAAGAAAGAAAGGAAGAAAGACAAGGGAAAGAAAGAAAGGAAGCAAGAAAGAAGGGAAAATCAATCCAAAAATAGTACCCAGATTCACTATTGTGCATTGAACTGTCACTATTGTCTTATTGTTTCAAGAGTCAATGAATTTCAGTATCAACAACTATTAAAGATTAAAATTCTATAAAAATTTTGCAATTAGCCAGTATCCTGCTGCGTTCGCAATGAAATAAAACACTTTGCAACTCCAAAAAGTTCATTAAACTTCCTGAAACTGAAGCTCATTTGCCTCTAGACTCACATGATCATTTGATCATTTGCAAATTGTCTAATCTCCAGATATCCAGCTATTTTTTTGAATTCACTGGATGCTGATGGGTCTCTAGGGATTTCTTCGATAAAGAGGCCCAAAAATGGAGAAGCTTTCCTCTTCGCCTCAAAAAAAATGTCTAATTGGTAGCCACCTGTGGCTCTCTTTTTTTTTTTTTCCTTGGGAACCACATTCCGATTCTTCTTTTTATCCATCTTTTTCTTTGCTTTTCCCCTTCGCGAACACAATCTACAGCTGAATTCTTTTTACATTCACGTTTTTCTTCTCAAATTCTATTCTGAAAGCTTTAAAAATGTTTAAGAATTCGAAATTTGATTGAAATTTCTTTTGAAAGCAGACATTTTTGACTGAAATTTCTTTTTGGAAGCAGATTGTCTGTGTCAAAACTTGATGTACTTTATTGCTGTAAAATTTGAAACACATTCTTTCTTGTGCACTTAATTTTCCACTTTCGAGAAATTGAAGAATTAAGTGTGCCAGAAAGATTCTAAATATCTTGAATCCTTTGAAAGTTAGATTGTAAGTTAGAAGATTTTTGTTCTGAAGATGCTTGCTTGCTTTGCTGGATCGCTTGCTTTGCTGGCTTGCTTGCTTAGCTACCTTGCTTGCTTTGCTACCTTGCTTGTTTAGCTATCTTGCTTGTTTAGCTACCTTGCTTGTTTAGCTATCTTGCTTGCTTTGTTGGCTTGCTTGCTTAGCTATCTTGCTTGCTTTGCTGGCTTGCTTGCTTAGCTACCTTGCTTGCTTTGCTACCTTGCTTGCTTTGCTGGCTTGCTTGCTTTGTTGACTTGCTTGCTTAGCTACCTTGCTTGCTTTGCTGGCTTGCTTGCTTGCTTTGCTGACTTGCTGACTTGCTTAAATAGGGAAAAGAAAAAAGAGTATCTTTCTTTTGTAAATTAAAAAGATATTAACTAAAGAAAAAAAGTTCTTCATCTATTATTTAAAATACCGAAAAGATAAATGATTAGAATTAAATCAAAAAGACATTTGATCAGTGATCTAGCGTTAGACGAAGGCGTGTCAAAATCCCTTTGATGTTCAGCTTTAAATCTAAGACTTTAAAACTTTGTCAGTCTGTTTTTTTCTACATAAAACCCTCGGATAAGCCGAAAACTTTCATTTCTAGAAATTTCTGTTTGTTTTCTTCAACTTCTTTTTGCAGAAGCCCCGTGGGCGGAGTTCTCTAAGAGAAATTTTCAAAAGTTCAGAAAAAAAATGAAAGAAATAGAGTTTTACTTTTACTTTTACGATCAGGGCGTATCATTTGGCTTATCGGTTTTCTCTTTTTTCTTTTCCGCTTTCTTTGATGACTCAATCTTATTTATTCAGAAAGCGTATCAATTGGTGACCGGGTCTTTCTTTTTAGTCTATTTCGGAGTTAAGATAACTCCAAAATCTCTAAATAAACCAATTAAACATCATTTTCTTATTAACACTTTATTCAATATTCTTTTCTTGAGCTCTACATTTGTTCTTGATTCGATTATGCCAGCTTGTTTGAGTTTACACCCTTCAATTGTTAATCAGCTTTGTCTTCTTGGTTCTTTACGCTTCAAACGTAAACACACCATTTCTCGCGTACTCAATCTCCATTTTTAAGAACCCAGTTCTTTACTAAAAACCCAGTACAACAGGAAATTCAAGATTGATGGCGTACTTTGTGCTTTCAATTGTAAACACAACCTTTCTAACGCACTCAATGTTTTTCGATCAATTGAGATAGAAACCTAAGCCTAAGCCTAAGCCTAACCAGAAAATGGGGGTTCAGCCCAAACCCAAATAGACTTAGTGCTAGGCGCTAGCCGCTAGCCTACGCACTAAGTCCAAGCCTAAGTCCAAGCCTAAGCCTAAGCCTAAGCCTAAGCCTTAGCTGTACAAGAAAAATGGGAGTTTAAGTGCGCCAGAAAGGACGTGTTTACTCTTTTTCAGCAAAAAAATACATCTAAATGGCGTAAAGTTGCTTTTAAATTTAGCTAATCGTCTCAAATATTCACTTTTCATATCTAAAAATTCGATGATCAAGCCAAAACAAAATTTTTCCAAAATTTTTCCAATATTTTGTGCAATGACTAATTCCTATCGCATTTTTGGGATCCGGAAATGAGCTAATATGGGAAAATTCTGGTTTTTAGAGAAGATAGAAGTCTTTTTTTTTTAGAAAAGGTGACTGCTGCTTATCTTTGTATTCTTTTAGAGAGACAAACACACGCAGATTTCTTTCTTTTCTACCCATTGACGTGTCCACTTATCAATGCTTTCAACTATGTCTCCCACCCAAATTTATTGGGTTTTCAATTTCTCAATGTTTTTGACTGCTTGGAGATTCTGGAGAACTTTGGAAATTTTACTTTAACTGCTGAGAGGTTCTTTGTTCGACCGCGTAATCGCTCGCCGTCTGGCATATCCTCCAGATAGATAGGTGCTCCCATTGAAATCCTGAGATCTAATACACCAGTCCTAGAAAGATAGGTGCTCCCAATAGATAGGTGCTCCCAATAGATAGGTGCTCCCATCGAAATCCTGAGATCTAGTACACTAGTCCTAGCCCAAGCCACAAATTGATAGTCCGATTCGCATTCTCCCATCAAAAAAAGTTAACAAATTCAAGTGTTCTGGTATCATTTTCGATTCTTTTACTTCATGATTTCCTTTTCTTTACCCACTTCTCAATATCCAGAGAAATCTCTTTCCCTTTCATTTATTTCATCAAAAAGTCTCTGTGTACTCAGGATTGGCAAAACCCTCTTGAATTTCTTCACCGAAACACAAAAATCTCCGTTTTTTTCCCCGAAATCTAAAAAACACCTTTATTCTTTAATAATAAGCTGAATGAGCTAAAGTTTTGACGAAATTTGAATTATTGTTATGATTTTGATTGATTAGATATTGATTTTCTTCAGTAATTAGATTGATTTAAAATGTTTTCCCATTCAGTAACCCAATCGAGGGAGTGGTTTCTGGAGAGCAATCTGGGCACAATGCCCAGCATCGTACAGGTAGCTTTTCTTTTCAAATTTCAAGAAATCGAAAACTTCTTTAGCTTCACAACAACGCGATGCATCCACGGGGTTTTAACGACGAAATTCCGGTGGATTTGGAGGGAGGACGGTTGATCGATATGACACAAGTGAGTAAAGAAAATTAAAAAATTGCTAAGCTTTTCATTTTTATCAAAATCAAAGGAAGATATTGAATAAGTATATAATATAATGAGAATTTTCAGGAAGAAGAGGTCGATTCAGCAGACGGAGCGCGTGTGAGCATAATGACATATCGAATTGAGACGCCGGATGGGAGTGAATTGACGAAAACCGTGAGGAGAAAGGTTTGTGATCAAATCTTCTCATTCTATAGTGTTTCTTTCTATAAAAAGGATCATTTTCTCAAAAAGAAACTCCAGTTGATAGTTTTTTTTTTCGTTTAGTTATTTCAAATCAATGGAGATTTGATTCATTAGACTTCACTAGATTCATTAGACTTCACTAGATTCATTAGACTTCACTAGATTCATTAGACTTCACTAGATTCATTAGACTTCACTAGATTCATTAGACTTCACTAGATTCATTAGACTTCACTAGATTCATTAGACTTCACTAGATTCATTAGACTTTAAACGTGCTTTAAACATTAGACATTACATTAGACATTACATTAGACATTAGACATTGCTGCTCTCGAAAACAAAATGAAAACAAAATCTTAGCTAGCAAAAATGTGCCAATTTTTGTTAGCTAAGATAAGCACGAATTTGCAATAATGAAGTACAAAATGCACTACTTTTATATTAATTAACTCTAAAAATTATTTAATTAATAATAAAAAGAATGCTAATTAATTAAATTTTAAAACTTATTAATGCAGAAAAAGATGAAAAAAAAAGAAGATTTTAACTAGAATTTAACTGTTCTTTTTGCATCTTTTGCATAGCATTTTTTGTACTGCTCGGTTAGGGTTGCTAAAGTTATTGGGTTGGTGAATTGAAAACTGCGGGACTTTGAACTAAAATTTATTCAACATAAAACCATAAATTCATTCCAAATAATTTCCATTATTATTGACGACTTCTGCCCATTTTACAGGCAATTTGCGGATTCCTCTTTCGTAGTAGGATTTTGGTTTGTGTGTGAGACAAGTGTGAGACTCAAAAATGGAGGGATGTCCCAGTTTGAGCACCTTCTTCAAAAGAAACCCATTTTGGTGTCAATAGAAAAGTTGTAGAGAATCAAAAATGAGGCTTATAGCCAAATTTCCAAAAAGATACACTTAGTAGTTTTGCTTAAAATGCAAGTTTTGTGAAAATTTGTAAATTTCGCATTTGTTGAAAACCAATTTTTGAATCGTTCTGAAAATTTGGATATAAGCTTGATTTTTGATTTTCTACAACTTTTCCATTGACACCAAAATGGGTTTCTTTTGAAGAAAGTGCTCAAACTGTCACATATGACAATAGCCGGCAGTTTTCAATTCACCAACCCAATATTAAAAAAATATTACAGTACCTCTATTCTATGTAAAATTATGTAGATTGATCTATGTAGATTTTATGTTTAATTGTTATTTTTCAGCTTAGGTTAATGTATTGTCTTAGAAAGCGAAAAAGATCCATTAAACGCAGCACTATATATCCCGCATCAATCAATCTTCAATACTGAAGATTGTTTAAGGAAAACTCGAATTTTTAAGCAAATTTACCCCAAAAAAAGGCCTCTGATCGAAGCTTTGAGTTCAAGAGAGTAAAAAAGAGTTTTTTTTTCGGCATGCATCTCGAATCAAATCCCTTTTCGATGGGACTCTTATGGGTTTTTTTGCAAAAAAAACCCCTGCAGACATCCAAGAACCACTTGCATTAAGGCATATGTTTTTTTGAATAAATTGACCTAACACAGCAACTTTAAAAAAGTCGAAAAATGAAAGTGATTCAAGCTGATGACCGAAAATTTACTCTCCCCAAAATTTCCACTACCTAAATGGGACTCAAGTGCAATACTTTGCTACTGCTACTACTTTACTACCAAGCTATCGGAAAAGTCTGATGAATGCTGATGCTTGAATGATTTCTTTTCATTTTTCCGGATGACCTCTTCCTTTTTTTTCCTCAAAAAGATTTCCTAAACATCTCTAACTCTTCTTTCTCTTTTCTTTTCTTTTCTTTTCTTTTCTTTTCATCTCTTATCATCATTTTTTTCTTTGAATACCCCTAAATTATAAGCGTTTCCCCCTTCAAGAAAACTTTGCGATAAGAAAAAAATCGGAAAAATTCGATTTGATTGAATTCTGAATGGCTTTCTCATCAAGAAAATTCACGAATGAAGGTCATCAATCGCGCAGTGTCACTCAAATGAGGAGTGAGGTTGAGATTTTGATTCAATTTTAATGGTCTTAATGATAATAATGTCTTTATATTGTAACTAAATCTATTTTCCAACTAGTACTACACCATAATGCTAAAGTATGGTACCGTAACTCCTCAAAAAAGCTCACGATTTTCGAATCTTAAATATCATTTGGTTTTTAAAAGCAAGAATTTCTTTCCAATCTTCCTTTTTGGATTTTTAGATGCAATATTAGAGGTTGGGGGCCCAGAAAGGGAAGGGTCTGTGGTCGACCCCGTCCGATCCGCCAAGTTGAGCAACGTCGGCGCCGGGTTAGTCGTGGGTTCGACTCCCATGGGTTCCCCTCCGAGCGCCCCAGCCCGGTCATCGGAGTATCATCGGCTACGACAACTACACTTCTGCCTCAGTAAATGTGGAAGCGGGTTGTGATCTGCGCTAAGTGCGAAGACAGATCCAAATCCAAATCATTATATATTAGAGGTTATATTCTCTTTTTCGTTAAAGAGAATATAACCAACTTTGCAATCTTTGATTACAATTTTTATTCTAAAGTTTTAGCCTAAGCCTTTAGAGCTTACTTTAGAGCTTTAGAGCTTTAGAGCTTTTAGATGCTAGCGGTTATATTCTCTTTAACGAAAAAGAGAATATAACCGCTAGCAGTAAGCTCTAAATTAGGCTAAAACTTTAGAATGAAAATTGTAATGAAAGATTGCAAAGTTGGAAAGTTGGAAAGTTGCTGGTGAAAGAAAAAGTAAAGGCTTAAAACTAGCGTAACTCTCGAAGCAGATCGCTTGGTGAGTTACGGCTAGTTCTAATTGTAATCAAAGATTGCAAAGTTGGGAAGATCGCTTGGTTACTCACCAAGCTATCTGCCTCGAGAGTTACGCTAGTTCTAAAGATGTTTACCTGCAAAAAGAGTTACCAAATCATCATTTTACAGTCAAAAATTGGGGAAATTTAGAGAAGTTTCTTGATTGGATCCATCTAGATTCGCCTCTAGGGCTCTCCCAAGAAAAATTAAAATCGAAACTTTCAGTCATTTCAGTCACTTATAATATTAGTGATTCGAAGCCGGGTTTTCGTGAATGAATTTGATAATTTTATTTTAATAATTTGATAATTAGTCATAATTTTATTTTCATAATTTGATAATTAATCATAATTTTATCAAATTCACCTTTGAAAACATTGAAAAAGTGAAAATTTTGAAAAATTGCGGCCATAAATCACTATTTGCATATAAATTCCCCAACTTTTCCCTAATCTGATTCACCTATTTCTCTCAAAAAGCTCTATTCCATGAGTTTTTTTTGTTTTTATTGAATTCCTCCTTTCAATAGCTTCATCATCATCTATTTTTTTTTCAAGAAAATGGAATTATAAAAGCATTCGCTAGGTTTTTTTTCGTTTTCTTTACGCTTGAGTACCTTTGATTTCTTTGCTTTCTTTGCCTAGATTGCATATTTTCACATAAACATCGAGAGATCCATTAAAAAGCGCCGGCTAGAAAGGAAAACATAGAGATCGACGGGTTTTAAAGCTAAAAAATAGAGTTCAGCTTATCTTATCCTCAACATTTGCAATATTGAATGAAAGATTTCTAAATCTTTTTATTAAGATTTCAAAGATTTCAAAGATTTCTTTTAGATTTCTCAAGATTTCTTTAGATTGTTCATTACTGATGGCTGATAAAAGATTCCTTCTATAAGCCGGTCGCAAAACTATACTCGCAAACTTGTTTACAAACTTGTCTCTCGCGAACTTGTTGGTAAACTTGTTCACAAACTTGTTCACAAAACTTGTTCGCAAAACTTGTTCAGTTCACAAACTTGTTCGTAAACTTGTTCGTAAAATGTTCACAAACTTGTTCACAAACTTAACTTATTACTGTTTGTAATTTAGAAAAAAAAAAAGCTTACTTTAATCTACGATAAAAATTGTGACTCTTGTTCAGTCAAAAGCAGAGTTTTTATTGTTTCTAGAATAGAAAATTCAAGTAAACAATTGGATTAAATCGATTGAACTGGCTTCGGACCGGCGCTAGCTCATTTGAATTTTTTTGCACACATAAGAAAATTAGCATAAATATACGATTTAATGAAATAATTTCATTGATTTTAATGAGATTCCAAAGTCAAAATGAATCAATAAATCAAAAAAAAGCATACAACCTTTACAAATGAAAAATTACTCGAAATTTCTTAGCTTTCCTATCTTTTCTTAGTCAATAGCTATTAGATTCATTCTTAGCTTCTTAGCTATTAGATTCATTCTTTCACAAGGTTTTTTTCGGAGAGAAATGGGGGTCAGCTGGGTGTCGAATTGGCCAGCAAAAAGAAATGGTTTTCCTGATTTTTTTCTTTCTTTAAAGGACCCTTTCCAAGACTGGATCAGTCTTTCAAAAAATTTCAAGAAAAAAAAAAAAAAAGATTCCAGTCAAAATCTTTCTATTCATTCTTGAATCTAAAATTCTTAAAAAGAAATGGAGTACCTTTTCTTTAAAATCTTCGGGTCAAAAATAGCAATAGAGCAATAGCTGAAGGTGCTTTCCAATTGCTCCATTGCTCTCAAAACTTATTTTTTACAAGATTCCTCTCACAATTTCACCACATTGAATAAGTTTTTGTAAGAGAACAAACAAAAAGCGATCAATTTTTACCTGTTTTCTCCTCTCTTTTCTCAATGCCTATGCAAACATTGAGAGGGAAACCAGATTCTTCCAAAAATTCCTCTCTTGAAAAACTCTTTGCTCAAAAGTAGAATTCAGCTGAAACTTCCACATTTCGCGGCTTCCGGGATTTTTCTCTTTTCCCCTCGATCTCAATTTTAAATGATCAACAACATCTGTGCTTTTCTTTCTCTTTCTGCTTGTGCCAGCCTGAGAAATCTTTTAGCTTTCAACTTTTAACTCTTACAAAAATTTTAATTAAAAGATTTTTTACTCGATTCGATTCGATTCGATCTCTATTCTATTCCACTCGATTCGATTTACCCGATCTCGATTCGATTCCATCTCGATCTCTGGCTCCCTTCGATTCCATTTGATTCCATTTGATTCCATTTGATTCCATTCGATTCGATCCATTCCGATTCCATTCCACTCGATTCGATTCCAATC